TAAATAATTTTTATGATTGAAAAAATAATTATATGATTTTGGAATAATCCAACTTTCGTTGAAAGAATTGAGTAATCTTAATATTTAATTGCAGTAGTGAATTTATTATTTTTCCATAAAACAGATTGTTTCATTCAATAAATCTGCACTAATGGCAGAAAATATATCAAACAAACATGATACATATACATATAGATCTGAAATCAATAAATATAACAGATATAAGAAATCAATATGAATAAAGATAATATTGATGTTCTTATATATCTGTCAACCAGATGAATCATTATAACCCAATACATCTATACATGTCTTCTTATAGTCAAATCTAATTAAAACTAGTTCAAGTTAAAAAAAAAAATGCTATCATAAGATAAAACCTAGGAGGGAATAAAACTCTCACTAGAACAATATAGAAAAAAAGAAACTTTCATTAGGAGAATTTAGGAGAGAAGAATCTCTCATTAGAAAACCCTAAGAGTGAATTTATCATTAATAAAAACACACGAGTATTTCAAATTCATAGGTCAAAGTTTGAGAGTAATTGACTATAATCTAAAGTCAAAAAATTGTAAATGTCAATATATTAGCAACATTTTATTAAAAACATAGGATATTCATTAAAATTAATACTGATTTTTAGGTTTTATCTTTGGTAACTTGACTATGAGTATCAATTATGTAAAGGAATTTGGTGGAAGGTTTAAAATGAAGAAAAGGAAAAGGAACGAACTAAAAAAGAGAAAGCTAAAATGAACAAAAAAAAAAGGATAAAGTTAACATGACGAAGAAATAATATTTCGCTTGCATCATATAATATTTCCCAATTTCAAATAATATTTCATTTGCATCATAAATACATTTTTCAACCTACCTTTTTATATTCCCAATTACCTTTTTATCTCACATACATCACATCACAAAAAGTGTTATAGTAATTATTCCAAATAATATTTCAAATAATACTATATCTTAACAAACCCTTATGTAAATCTTGATGATAAAAGAAACGGGGAGTATTTTGCTGCACAAGAATAAAATATCAAGTGTTAATTTGTGTGTGTGTCTCTCTCTCTCTCTCTTTTTTGTTGACAATGATAATTATCTAACTAACTTTTATTCCTACTCTATGGGAGGAGGAGAAAGCTTGCAGAATGAACTATTAGACCAAACAAGTGCACTATTTTATTTTTTAAGAATAAGAAGCGGGGTTTGAATCACCCAATCTAGCTAAGTTTGGGAGTTTAGGATAGAAAAAAGAGAAGAAGGGAAAACTTAAGTTACGAGAGAAGAGAAGAGATTATTATGTTGTTTGGGAGTTTTGAGAATTAGTGAAATAATTTTAGATATGAAAGTCATTAAATATTTGTTCAATAAATTTTTAAGGATAAAATAGGTATTTTAAAAAACTTTCATAAGCTTCCTCCAACTTTCTCTCCAATTTTGAAGAAAAAATTTTGCCTACTATTTATTCTCTTAAATCCTTCTATTTCCCTTCTTTTCTGTCCTACTAAAAATTAACGGACAAAGAAAAATTAACTTTCTCTTCTTTCCCTTCTTTTCTGTCCGAATCCTCCGCTCCCAAACGAAGCGTAATGCACGGAAGAGATCTAAGGGACTCTTACCAAGACCCAGTGATTAATTTGTCGGTCAAAATTGGTGTGCTGGGGCAAGGGACAACCAGACAAGTGCAATTGTGACTCAGACGGTTCTTCAAAAAAATCATTTCGGTTGAATGGTTCATTGGTTGACTAGTCTATTTGGTTCCTTGGGCATTTTAATCCTTTCCATCGGCTGGCCACCGGAGACTTGCCCTTCACCACGGTGGAAGGATTTTCACGAAGCCTTGAGTATGTATGACATTTCTGGCTGCTTGGAAGGCCTGGGATGGAGACAGGCATTGCCCACAAAAGGCAAAAGCTACCGCCCCTACTTCCGCCAATGTATCCTCATCCATGAATAGACCTGTTTAGAATGAGCTTCTTATCAAGTGAACCAAGACATGTATTTGCCATGCTACATTCTAGCGTACAAGTCTGTCCTGATCGCTATTTTTTTTTGGTTTTTATAAAAATAATAAATTATAATGATTTGATATATGTGAGATAAAAATATAATTAAAAAATATATTTACGAAAGACGTAACGTTTTTTTTTTGGTGAAAAAATGGCAATCCAAATAAGGTGAATTTTCGCAACGGATCTTCTGTCCTACATCCTGTGCCACTCTCTGTCCCATTTTTTATTATATTGCTATTTCTCCTACATAAATATCATATTTTAGTTCTTTTTTGTTTCCTTAAAATTCAATAACTATTAATTGAGTAAAAAATAAATACAGCAATTTCAAAAAAGCAATATATAATTGAAAATTAAAAAAATATAGCAAAAAATTCATTAAAAAATCTCATTTTTTTATGCATTTTGATTTTTTGAGTTTGTTAAATTTTATTTTTTACTCAATTAATAGTTATTGAATCTTAAGGAAACAAAAAAGAACTAAAATATGATATTTATGTAGGAGAAATAGCAATATAATAAAAAATGGGACAGAAAATGGCACAGGGTGTGGGACAAAAGATCCGTTGCGGTGAACTTTCAACTATAGTTGTCTATTGTAACGCTCATTTGGAGCAACATGTTTCAGTTTAAACCGCATCAACTCCTGCTCATCCCCTGGTGCCGACTTTCTGTGCTACTTTACAAAATCGCACAATCTTTATAAGATTCAAACATCAACCCTTTTTTCCACTGATCTTCTCGCTCAATTTTTTAATACCTGTTTGAATTAGGTGTTTTTGGGGGTGTTTTTGAAAAATTTTACTATAGCAGAGTTTTTAGAGTATATTTTGGGATATTTTTTGAAAATATTTTGAGATATTTAAGAGTATAAGAGTTTCTAAAATATATTTTAAGATAATTTTTAAAATTTTAAAAAAATTTAAACTAATTTTTATATTACCTTTTAGAGTACTTTTTACAAATTTTTATTGTATTTGAAAAACTAGTTTTTGCAAAACACTCTACATTTCAATTTCGGAAAGAGTCTTAATAAACTAGCCTTACAACAAAAATTAGTCAACTGCATTAACGTACAAGTAAACTAAGATTGAATGAATAATATAAATTAAAAAAAAAAAACTGCTATGAGCATGATCAAATAAGCCGACCAATCACATGTCCAACTTCGAGATTGCTGTCATTAATTTTTAATTAACAAAAATACATAGAAAAACGTACATGACAGTTTAATGCAAAAAAAAAATTGAAGATTTATTAGTCAAATCTTAATTAATTTTTTTATAATCATATAGACATGTAATAATCTCTTAAATCTGAAATGTTGAATTGGGAAAAATTACGAGTATTACTCTTATTTGACAGAAAAGGGGAAAAAAAGGGGCCAGACTCCACGTCATTAAAATGAAAATTTATCAAACTATTGAATTGGAGATTCTATGAATATCGTGCAAAAAAATAGGAGACAATGGAAGGAAGCAGAAATGAAAAAGGAAATTACTATAAAAAATTAACTAGATAATAATTGCAATATATACCCTTAAACAATCAATAAATGGTGATTTGTATTTTAAACTATTGTTGCAATTAAGTATGCTATGCAACCAAATTGTAGCAAATTGCTTAGGTGAGTTGAAAACAAATGAATCTTGAATCAAATAATCATATATTTTGTTCTTGGAGATACTTTATTGGTCCGAAATAAGCATGAGTATTATGATAAATAGATGCAAATCATGGTTACTAAAATGGGATTAATTTTTATACATGGTCAATGTAAAATTTTTTTTTTCATACAAGCCGATTTAGATGAATGTCATATCATTATTATTCAAATTTTAAATTCACTTTTTGTCCACGTATCATATATTTATACCTATTAGTGTAAAAATTTTTTATATTGACTGTTTATACAATATATATCCTACTAAAATCCTTTTAACAAAAATAAAAAGTTATTGGTTTTCAATTGAGTTGAATTATGTGTCGCAACATATTGTAGCATACAGTATTGAAGTGCTCAATTTAACAATATGTTACATGAAATGCAAATCAGTGGCAGTTCAAGATGCACATTGCAATTTTCAACCCCTTTTCAGTTTAATGTTATGGCCACTTCAATTCAAGTATATTGGGTATGGAATTGAGACCTAGCTGAAAATTACTACATACAAGAATTCATTGTAAATGTCAAATTGGCATTTGCTTAATAATGTATATAGATATCTTTTATAGTCATCATTTGACTTCTATTTAGTAATACTACAATTCCAAGAATAGCTACTAATATTTTACTATCATTCAAACATAATTCTAATAATGTGTATGGGGGAAAGTTGGATAAAAATTAGAAAGAGTAAGAATGGGTATTATTTTACCATATTGCAGTTTTGAACTTAAGAATTTTCCTATAAACAATTGATGTGTTAATTCCAAATTCTAGTTTCACTTAATAAATTTCTCATTACTTCGTTACAAAATGGCTACTATAAGAGTCAATTTATCAGTTTTCTATAATTAAAACAAATCAAAATTATTTTTACATTAGTATATGAACATTTGGACTAATCCCAAATGCATTTTAACATTAGCACACCACATGACTTTTCTAATTACATGAAAGTACAAGAATATAAATATACGAGTATTTTAACCCATTCACATAATAGATAACCCCCTATTTCCTCCCTGTTTCTTAAATCTTACCCCTTCCTTAAATCTCACTCTTTCCTTGCTGGAAAAATTTTAAAAAAAAAATAATAGATAACCCTTTTGTATAATAGATATTGGTCTGATAATAGATGGTTCAAAATGTTAAAGAGGTTGTACAGCAATTAAAGTACAATATGTTACTGATCCAGTAATTTCCCAACTCTTGCAAAGGTACCACTCCTGTAATGCCAAAGTACAAACCTTCAAAGCTTTCTCCCCCAACACGAAGTAAACAACATTAACCCAAAAAATAAAGGGGAAAAAAATTCCTCTTCCCCTTCACTACACATTTGAAATTTCAAAATCCCATCTTGACATTGGAGATATAGATACCCCACGCAAGAATATTAAAAAAAAAAAAAAAAGGCTCAAGATTTCGAATCCCATTAAACACCGCCATCCCAATTCTCCAGGTGGGATATCAAAAACAGTAATCTAACTGCTCCTATACGTAGTGTAATGGTACTTTAACAAGAAAAGGCTGGGATTTTTCAGCTCAGTACTAGCATTCATTTCAGTTTCACCGATTGCCCAATTCAGGTTTCTGCAATTCAATACTCATTCTCTTCAGGAACCCTTTTCTGTTTGTCCATTTGGGTGTTTGAAATTCTGTTAATTTGTTAATTCCTCACTTTAATTTGATGCATTGGCTTAATAAAAGCTCTAATTTTTGTGGGTTTTCTCCCTTATTTATTAAAGTTGCTGTTATTGTCAGTCTTTTAAGTTTTGTGGGTTTTGTTAATGTTCCTCAAATTTGCTGATGGGTTAGTAGGAATACATGCTTCTATTTTGGTAGTGGACTTTGCTTTGAGCTTAAGTTGCATCAATGTAGCTTCATTTTCTCTTAGTTGTATTTTCTTTTCGTTGATATGTTCATTTTGGTTTGAAAGAAGAATTGGATGTCGGTTTTATTTATTTATTTTTTGTACATATATTTTTCAGGTTCTTGGGTTCATTGGAAGTGGATGTAAAAGTGATTTTTTTGAGTAGTTATTATGTCCCTGCTGAGTAGATTCTTTCACAGAAGACCGCCAGATGGCTTGCTTGAGTTTGTTGATAGAGTATATGGTAATTCAAGTCTGAAGATTGAATTTTGATTGCTGATGTGACTGTTGCTGATGACTTTATATCATTTCTTTCAATTTTAGTATGGATTTAACAGTTTTACTCTGTTTCGTTTGGACTTCTTTGTGATTTATGCAGTGTTTGATTCATGCTTTACGACTGAAGTATTGCCTGAGGACATGTATCAGTTGTACTTGCATGAAATTGTAAATGAATTACATGAGGGATTCCCCGAGTCATCCTTTCTTGCTTTTAACTTCCGGGAAGGTGAGAAGAGAAGCCAATTTGCAGAAATATTGTGTGAATATGATGTGACTGTCATGGACTATCCGAGGCAATATGAGGGTTGTCCTCTCTTGCCGTTGTCATTAGTTCATCATTTCCTTCGAGTTTGTGAGCATTGGCTTTTGGTTGGTAACCAGCAGAATGTAATCTTGCTTCATTGTGAGAGAGGGGGTTGGGCACTTTTAGCATTCATTTTAGCTAGTTTCTTGGTTTTTAGAAAGTTGCATAGTGGCGAGAGGAAGACTCTTGAAATGGTTTATCGAGAGGGTCCAAAAGGTCTGTTACAGTTGTTATCACCGCTAAACCCATTCCCATCACAGCTTCGTTATCTCCAATATCTCTCAAGACAAAATATTTCTCCGGAGTGGCCTCCCCCTGAACGAGCACTCTCTTTGGATTGTCTGATTCTTCGTTCCATCCCAAGGTTTGATAACCAAAAGGGCTGCCGTCCAATTATTCGTATTTTTGGTAGAAATCATCTTAGTAAGGATGGTCTATCAACGCAAATGCTCTATTCGACAAGCAAGAAAAAGAGAAATCTTCGACATTACTGTCAGGTTTTGATTGAAAACTTTTTGTATTTAAGTTGGTATGCATCATTTTCATGACATTTTATAGATAATATAAATATTTGGCCTTTTCCAGAAAGACAGCGACGTGATTAAGATTGATATTCAGTGCTTGGTGCATGGGGATGTTGTATTGGAATGCGTTCATTTTGATTTGGAACCAGAAAGAGAAGTTATGATGTTTCGTATAATGTTCAATACAGCTTTTATTCGATCTAACATCTTGGTTCTCAACTGTGAGAATTTGGATATCCTTTGGGATTCAAAGGCACGGTATCCAAAAGGTTTTCGAGCTGAGGTGAGTTGTCTGGATATGTTACTAACTCATTTAAGTTATATGGTTGCATGCTCTAGTGGTGTCTGAATATCTCATGAAATTGACTTTGTCAAGTTCAGGTGCTATTTGGTGATGTAGAAAGCATCTCTCATCCAAAACCTCCAACTACTATTTTAGATGGTGAAGAAACCGGTGGCCTTCCTATCGAAGCTTTTTCTAGAGTTCAAGAACTTTTTAGTGGTGTGGAATGGGCAGACACTGGTGATGATGCTGCTCTATGGTTGCTCAAACAATTATCTGTCTTGAATGATGTGAAAGATTTATCACTATTTCGGAGTAGAATGAATGGATATTCATCACCTTTGGACTCTGAAGATGAAAATAATGCCTCTAGTATTGCTGATAGTCTGGATTTTCTGGACTCTGAGAAGGCTAACGATCGAAGTTATGGTGGTGCAGCAGAGGTGAATTTTTCAGATGATCCTCTTTCTCATGATTATATGTCAGATGAAGCTTCTGATCGAAAGCCTGCTGAAAATTCATTGGAGCCATCGACTCGAGAAGCAGTTGATCCAATTCATTCACCTTCCCAAGTTGATAGTCATGTCAGCGTTGGTGGTGATTCTGAAATTACAAATGAAGTGCATGGATCAAGTATGGAAACTTTGTCCTGCCAGCCTTCTGGATTGCTTCCTTCATTATCTTCCTCTGCTCTTTCAAGTGCAATAGATCCTCAGTCATCACCACCCCCTCCCCCACCACCTCCACCACCACCTCCTTTTGGTACTTCTAGTAATAGAAAAACTTCTTCACTGTCTCAACCACCACCACCTCCACCTCCCCCACCTCCTATGGTCTCTAGAAAAGTGATTTCTCCATCCCTTGCTCCACCTTCACCTCCTCCTCTTCCTCCTAATCATTCTGGTAAAGGGCCTCCACCTCCACCCCCACCCCCACCCCCACCCCCACCCCTATCCAGCTTTCCTAGTAGTTCTATTAAGACAACTCCACCACCTCCACTCCCACTTATTAGTTCGAGTACAGGACCTCCAGTACCAGCCCCTCCTCCTCCTCCTCTACCTCCCTCCAATAAAATTGCAAAGTCTCTGCGGCCGCCACCGCCACCACCACCACCCCCTCCTCCTAAAGCCACTTCATCCATCTCTTCACAGACATCTCTAGCCTCACCTCCAACACCACCACCTCCTCCTCCTTCCATCTCTTCGAAAGGACCTCCACCGCCTCCCCCACCTCCTCCTCCCATCTCTTCCAAAGGATGTCCACCACCTCCACCAATTTCATCCACCAGCAGATCAGCATCATTCTCACCAGCACCTGCACCTGCACCTCCACCTCCGCCTCCACCACCTGCTCCATCTTTTGGCAATGCCAATAAGCCCAAAACTGCACCTCCTCCACCTCCACCACCTGCTCCCTCATCTCTTGGCAATGCTGGTAAACTTCCAGCACTGCCCCCTACACCTCCTCCAGGTGCTCCACCACCTCCTCCACAAGCGCCAAAACCTCCTGGTGCTCCCCCACCACCTTTGGGGCGTGGTGCAGCACCAGCTCCTCCTCCACCGCCTGGTGGAAAGAGTTCCAGTGCTGCTCCGCCACCACCACCAGCTGCTGGAAGGGGAAGAACACTTTCAGGAACTGGTCATGGCAGAGGTCGAGTTTCCACTGGTTCTTCAATTCCCCCAAAGAAAGCTTCACTGAAGCCTTTACATTGGGTGAAAGTTACGCGAGCAATGCAGGGGAGCTTATGGGCTGATTCTCAGAAGCAAGAAAATCAGTCAAGGTGCGTAGACAAAGAGATTTTTCAGTAAATTTTTGCTAAGCTATATTAGAGGTCTTGTTAACCTTATCTAATCAAATATATGATTTGATCTTTGTTCCATGGTTTTGGTTTCACTGACATTGACAATAACCAACATTTTGTACTTCGAATTCTCAATCAACCTTTGTAGGCATTGTTTCCATACTTTAGCTTGGCAAGATATAGTGGGATGAATGTCTCCACTCTTGATTTCGGATAGTGTTGAATTGTTGGAAGTGATATCTTGCAAAATTCTAATGTCAATTCATTAAATGCTTTTGCCAGGGCGCCAGAAATTGATATAACAGAGCTTGAAAGTCTGTTCTCAGTGGCTTCTGCTTTGGATGGTAATAAGGGTGGAGGTCGGCGTGGTTCTAAAATTAACAAACCAGAGAAAGTGCAACTGGTAAGTGGAATATGACTTTTGATACATATTCCGACTAGTTTCAAAGAAATTAATCGGTATTACACGTGCAGGAAAGAGGGAATTAAATATAGTTTGATCTTTTCTTCCAGTCTTTCCTTAATCACGATAGCATTGAATTGAAATTCTAATCTGGTAGAATATATTTCTCCCTCTGTCCAAAATTATTAAATTTTTTAATCCAACTTTTGACCATAGTCCTTTGATTGCGATGGTAGTCCATTTAATTTCCAAGAACTACCTACTTCATGTCAACATTTTAGTTGTTTGAACTAAAAGGTATTGTGTTTACAAAAGGTCAAAGTTGAAGAGGGATAGCGTTGCCTATTCAAAGCAGAGACAAGCTTTTGGATAATATGAAAATGGTCCTGTGAAATCAACTATAAAATGCAATGGGGAAAGCTTTTAAGTGCTTTTAAAAATATTTCTCTTGAAGTACATAAATTGAGTAACAGCATGTCTGCCACACAATGCAGCAATCTAATTTTTTTCAAAAAAATCATAATATCATGGAAAAGTATACATCACTATCTAGTTGTGGTATAGCTTTACAATTTAGTACTTGTACACATGAAGTGCCTTTTCTTGTGTCCCAATAGGTAAGGTGGTATTTTTTCTCCATTCATTTGGTCGCTTAGGAACACGATGAGATTCTTGCATTTGTATCATTATCAAACCTGTTGTCGTTGCTCTTACTCTGGCCGTCAACCTTCTTTTGTCAGGTTGATTTGCGCAGAGCCTACAACTGTGAAATTATGCTTACAAAAGTTAAGATTCCACTGCCAGATATGCTTGTAAGTTCATCTCTCTTATTATAATTGAGCATTGTGGGATTAACGTCTAAAAGCAGATGAAGTTGTAGACATTCTTTTGGATGTAGTCTTTCTACCGGGGCAAGGCAAATAAATTTTAGATGAAGTAGATGAAATTGGCATCCAGTTGCATTTTGATTATTGAAACAGCTGTTGTAGCTAAGCGGTAATTGTCATGCAGTGTGCTTTTGAGCTGAAGGATGAAAATGATTTTGAGTTCCAATTTTTTGAGGTTACGGGTTTGCGTTCTACTAAAGATGATGCATAAAACTCATGGTCATTTGGTTTAGTACTAAAGTTGACAAACTTATATTGCTGGTTCAAATGTGAGCAGAAAAGTCCGGTGCTTTATTAGGCCTATATCCATTATATTCTTTGGAGTATGCTTCCTTAGATAACAAGTTCTGTAAATGATGTTGATTAAGTAAACATACTGGAAAAGGTGTATCCTTGTAGGGACAATGTCAGTGCTCGCATGATGTATTTGGGCTGGCAACTTGAAGGACCTAGGATGTAATTTGTGGTTGTTGCAGCCACTTCGCTGCATGTTGCAAGATGGTAGAGGTTTTGCTTAGGTCAAATGCTAGCATCTTCAGTTACTGAGACTAATTGATCATTATCATACCGCTCAGTTGATGATATTGGTGGAGCAAAATCTCACTTGTGAGCCTTGGTGTAATTTTTTATATTGAATTGGCTGAGTTTATTGAGAATCTAGAACTTGGGAACTTAGAAGACTTCTACTGATCTTTCAAATGAATTCATGTTTCTATTAAACTAAAATGATTTCGTAGAACCTATATAGCCATAACCTGTAATATGTTGTACACGTTTAAAAGATCCTTATTCTTTTAATTATTATTTGGTTTTATTGTCATCATCATCCTCATATAAATATAATTCTTTGTATCATCAAAGATTCTGTGTCTGCCTCTTGTTTTCATAATTTTCGCTCCCCCCTCCTTTCTTCATACCTTCTTAAGAGAAGAAGCATTATAGTGGAACAACGTTTTGGCTGTCAAGCACATTGAGTTATTGGTGACTGTTTTCTTTGTTTACTGACATTTCTAACCTCTTTGATCTTGAAGTTGCATTTTAAAGGTGAAGTTCAACATGCTATGATTGACTTAGACTGTCTATTAATTCTTTGAAATGCCTGTCATTTTTCAGAAGGGAATTTTCTCAACTCCTCATGTTACACAAAGTTGTAGGTTATCTTTGTGATGCTTGGAATAGAAGTGTTGCTTCTTGTACATGTTAACCTGTTGCTGCATTTGCTTTTATTTGATGTTGTGATTGATTACTCGTTCCTCAGTGCCAGTATATATTTATAATTGTGTCACCATGGTGGGCAGAACATTTTGATTATATCCTAAAAATGGTGCTAACTAGAAATTGCACCGAGCTCTTTTGAGGATTTGGATGTTGAAGTTGAATTGTATCACTATGCCTGCCTGCTGCATTATCCTTTCCCTTTTCAGCATTGTAGATCTTAAATCCTCATTACTGCTTTTTCCTTTGTTACTCCCTGGGTACATGGCCTTCTTTACCCATCACCACCTCTGAGGTGTAATATAATATCTTTCATCTCCGGTTAATACTCTAAATTGTCAGATTTCTGGTATATATCTTTTCTAGTAGCCTATGTTCTTAATAGAAAGATAGATATCAGTTTTGAGTAAATGATGTAATTGTGTTTGGTCTGCTTTGGCATAATCAATGTCCTTTGGTGGGTTATTTAATATCTCAGTTATTATTAAACAGCTGCAAAGGTTGAATTTTCCCTGCATCAATGTTTCCATCCGTAATTCCTGATCAATTGTCAAAGTTTTCTTAGCATATATGATCTGTAGAATGGTTGTAATTTATTCTCTTGGCACTGGGCTCTACCCAAATATTTAGTGTCACTAGTCATGCATTTTATATAAATTCTAATGTCTAATTTATAAATTCATCCTTCTTTTCAGAATGCTATTTTGGCTTTGGACTCATCAGCCCTGGACATTGATCAAGTGGAGAATCTTATAAAATTCTGTCCTACAAAAGAAGAGATGGAAACATTGAAGGTATGTCTCACTTTGTCCCCTTTTTCCTTCTGTTTGAGACCATCCTTGCATATGTTTGTCTGTAAAGTTTGAAAGGAATATTCAGGATTAATTTGCTAATTCTTGTTCTTCTGTGTTAAGACAGTTTTGAGTGATGCCATACTTTGGATGGTCATTGGTTAATCATTCCAGGCCCTCTGAGCTTTTTAGTCTGAGCCCTGAAATGTTGAGATCTCATTATTTGGTCCTGAGATGTGTATTTGTGCTACAAGTTTTTATTAACTCTTTCACTAATTATCCTTGATTGTACTGTCTTTATGAAGTTTATTGACATTGTTCAATACAGATAATGTGCCTATAGATTTTAATGCTTGGTATAATTGATTAATACGTTGCGGCTATAAAGAGTAGTGAATTGTTGAGGTCTCTTGGGGCTTATCATCTGGATAAGGTGTGTCTCAGTGATGCGAGGTCTTAGCAAATATATTATAAATATATTGGCCATGAAAATGCTTAACCATTAATCACACCAAATAGGAATCAGCTACTGATATCGAAAGTAAAAAATAATACAACAATAAAGCCACAATCTGAAGCGTGACAAGTCCTAATACTTTTCTTTCAAACTCTTAAGAACATCCTCATTATCATCAGATTTGAGTTCCAAGCTGAACATCTTCTACAGTCTCATTTCGGAGATCATTTTCCTCTTCACCAACTAGTTAAATCGTAGCCTAACTTGAACTCTTAGACTTTTGATGCTTTTCTGTAGGTCTTTATCTAACAATATACCTGCTTTGCATAATTTCTGTGGTTCTGACAACATCTCTGTCAGAAAATCATCATCAGGAGGACGTTTACCCTTTAATTGCAATCTTCGAATTAACCATTCGCTACTTTAATCCATGTCATCTGACAAGAATGAACAATATGAGAAAGAAACTAAAAGAAAATGCCTAGCACCTAGGCGGTTTATAAAGTGTCCTGATGCAGCTAGGTTAAGGTGCAGGAGGTGTTCCTACATATACTTCTGAGTCTTGGCGATTGAGGCATAGCTATCTATAAAATATATGTGCTCAATGAAAATGGATCTCCATTCTTAGTTGATAGTGAAATGCTGTGGATTGTAAAATAATCTCTTTTGAATGGTAACATTGAGCATTAGCCTTTTTGTACAAGAGAATATGTAGTAGTTGAAAGGCAACAAATGTACACTTATTATTAGCTAGATCTACAAGTTGAGCTCTCAGCACATTCAAAAAGTTCCCTGATCAAATGAGATATATTTTTGTGACAAAACATTGAAGTACAGTGGAGAAGATGAGGAACTCAAGTCTGAGGCCGAACTTTTCCTCTCTTTGATAAATGGTAGTTGTCACGCTGAAGTAGTGATCAGATATAACAACAGAGTCTCATATGGGACAACCGAGATAGAAGCATTACCATACACTTGTTGCTATATGGAATTTGTCAATATGGAAATGAATTAGAAACATAGGCAGTCTGAGAATTAAAAACTGCAGAGTTTAAGGAGCATTTCAGATAGTTATTGGGAACTAATGGAGAAACCTTGACAGAACCTTGAATGTTGTTTCTATTGACATTATGCAAAGTATTCAGAAATTATTCAAAAGTTGATGCAAAGACTTGAATAAAAATGAAACAAAAGCATTTTCCAAACATTTTTATAGAATTTTCTTGAATTCAAAACTATCTTTGTTCTCTTTGTTGACCTAGTACATAGTTGAAAGTACATTTGATATCATGTGTACTTATTGTCAAAATGTCACATTATTACGATAGTGGTTTGAGATAGCTTCAAATCTGAAGCCCTTTACTATTATATGAAACTTGATAATCAGCTAGTTTGACTTTTGATGGTTAATTTGAAGCCTTTAGGGTATTTTGACACTACCTAAAAAGCAAACATCACGATAAAATTGGGACAGTGAGTTATATCTTCTTTACGACTTTTATCTTCTAACAGAGCACTTTGGGATAACTTATTACCTAGAAAACCACTGTGAGCTTGCTTATCGCACCATACTCTTTGTGTGGGCAACGAAGGTTACCTGGTTAGGGGCAGCTTCTTTAGCAAACCCATTTTTACTTGGTTCTTTCTTTCCTGATAGTCCAATCGTTGATAAGGTGGAGAACGCAAAAATGAATAATGAACTTCTTGTGCTGAACTGATGGGATTCGATAATACCCTTACCATCTCTAAATAATGTTTCTCTTTTCAGAATCAGGACTCTAGTCTCTAGGGGACCATTGAGTGATTCTAAAACCATTGCCTGCTATGAAGATAATTTAAGCTAACATTTGAGGATTGCCTTCCGTTTGTAATTGATGTTTTCAGTAATTTGTTTTTTTTTTGAAAAATTTTTTCCATGGATTTTTTATTTGTGGTATACTTTAAACTCTCTCTCTCTCTCTCTCTCTCTCTCTCTCTCTCTGTTTTTTTCTCTCCATTTTCAGAACTACAATGGGGACAAGGAAATGCTTGGGAAGTGTGAACAGGTGTTTCTTCCGAATACCTTTTCTCATCTTTTCTTTAAGTGGTGTATAAACATTTTTTATTGGTAATTGAAGTTGTTGGAATGAATGTTTCAGTTTTTCTTGGAGCTTATGAAGGTCCCACGAGTTGAATCCAAGTTAAGAGTCTTTTCATTTACAATTACATTTTCCAGTCAGGTAAGTAATCTGGTAGTCCATGATGTGGTTGATAGTTGAATGTAGGTTTAGTTTCAGCTTACTTTCATGGATTTAACTCTTATTAGGTTAATGACTTGAGATCCAACCTGAATACAATCAACGATGCTACAAAAGAGGTATGTCCATTCTGGAAATGCGAAATTGACAGTGCAGATCACATTTAAACTTCAATCTGATCTTGTCACTGTTGTGGTAGGTGAAAGAATCTGCAAAATTACGCCAGATAATGCAAACAATTTTAACTTTGGGTAATGCTTTGAATCAGGGAACGGCTAGAGGTAAGTGCCATGGGGTCGATCTTGCTTTTGATATATATGGTGTTGCTTCCTGGATTGCCTTGGATTGCATTAAGTTTCATTTGCATTTATATTTCAGGATCTGCTGTTGGATTTAAATTGGATAGTCTTCTTAAATTGTCTGATACTCGTGCCATAAACAACAAAATGACCCTGATGCATTATCTCTGCAAGGTAGAATATTTTCTTTGGTACATTCATTCGCTTTTTATTTGGTGTATTTAGGATTTCTGCATCGGGGTAACTGATCTTTTGGTCATACAATTGAATGCAAGTATTGTGATTTTGATTCATAAACTGGTTGTACATATGGTAAGCTGTAGACAACTGTTTCACATCTTGCTGTTCTTGCCTTTCTTTTGTGTGTCTTTTGGAGCTATCAAGTAGATAACCATCTCCAGGACTTATCTGATTTCTAGGCCTTGCTGTCTTCTCAATGTTGAGGGACAGCATTGTCCAAACCCAATTTTGAACCAGGAGAGGATATCTGACTAAATGTAGACTGCACTAGACAATGTAGATACTGGTTGCGGTTAGCATTTAATTGTTGAAATCAATCAAGTTAAATCATCCTAGCAGTTAGAGGTCAAGGCACCACAGAGAGTAGAAAGCCTTTGGGCCTTGTTCGCAAACTAAGGTGTATGCTTTGTTGTAAGCATGAAGTTGTTCACAGTATATGTTTAAATCCTCTAAGCAAAATAAGATATGCAATTACATGAAAGGAAATTACATATTAGGACTTAGGGTTCTATAGATCATAAAAGGCTTGATATGGATGTGCTAAAATCCAAAGAAGCATGAAAATCATTACGAACTGTCAGCAATCCAAAGTGCACATCCATTTCATAATTGTGAAAAATATCGAAGTTCAAATTTATAATCACCATTAAATATCGTAACATGGACGGAAAAAAAAAGACTATGCATGTAGAATACGGGGTAAAGTTCTGCTTTTGTTGGAAAGGGCCTGCCATTTTAAAGGACTAGTATAAAAAAGTACCTTGGGTTTGAGGGGATTTGGTGGGGGAAGGAGGAAAATGCTCAGGTAGAAAGGGGAAGTAGATTGGAAGGAGAAAATAAAATGGAAGAAAGGTTTAGCAATGGGGAAAGAAGAGAAAAAAGAACAGATGGTGGGGGGAAACCAGGGAAAATATTTTAACTATTAGTAGCTCAGAGTCATGTAATCTACATTCTTAAGCTGCTTATCTAATGATCATACAACAGGCACTTAGTTTTCAAATGATAAAACTAATAGATGTCCAGTGACTGAACGAAATAAGACAAGACAGAAGGTCTAAAAGTAAAAAAGGGGAAATGTTTTACGTTATCTGCTTTTACCATCAGGGTATTTTATTCTTTGTTTGTCCATTTAGATTGGATCCAGTGGAATAATGATACAGAAAGGGGAGGGGGGGAAAGAGTTTACAAAAAAGCAGAAAAAGAATCTGTTACTCTTCGTAATGTGCAAATTGCCTTCTTTGTGCTTCACTCCTTTTTTTTTTTTGGTGTGCTTCACCCTGTTTTGCAGTTGCACTCTAGCACAAACTTGTTTTCCTTTTGTCTGATGTGGTTCGAGTTCATGATTGAAAGGGCTTGTGATAAATGTAAACATGCCCTCGATTTGTTTAAACTTGGTTGCCATATCAGTCATTGTTATGCAGCCTTTTGGTGTGAAATGTCTTCCTCATGGATCTCATTCCTTGGCCAGTATTAGAAGTTTCATATGCTATCTTCTAACTTCAACTGTCAGTCTAATGGGACATAGGGCTTTTTGTGCTTTTATTTTGTAAATTGTTTTTAAGAATGTGAGGAGTAATAAATATGTAAAATACTAAAAGTTTGGCTATTTTGTGGCAGCTTGGTTTGGGATCTATCTTTTAGAAAATGACCAGAAAACTTGAAGAGATAATTTTCCTGTTTCCTGTAAGCAAGTACTTCACATATTTCCCGTAAGCAAGTACTTCACACTATGCCAACGAGGCCTTGGTCTAGTAGCTAAGGACGAGGCCCTGGGAATTAGGGGTCCCAGGTTGAATTCCCCCTGCCCCCTCCCTGCTTCTTAAATCCCACCTCTTCCCTGCTTAAAAAAATGAAAGATACAAAGATAAAAGGAAGTACTTCACATACTAAATGTCAGTTACTCTATCAAAAATAGCTAAAAGATGAGCTATCAAACAATAGCAACAGCCTAGACTACAAAATCTTCTATGCCAGTGATGGATTGATTCCATCTGTATTACTCATGTTTTACTGATTTATATCTTGCCCCTCTAACTATTGTTATAGAGAATTGCAGCTCTCTCTCTCTCTCTCTCTCTCACACACACACACATACATAATACATAACACACACACACACACACACACACACACACACATATATATATATGCAAAATCTCTCGTTTTTGTAAACTAAGAAAAAATGGAGAGAAAAAATACTTTTTTTCTATTTCACTTTGGACTACACAATATACAAATATATATATACACAAGTGGATACTATAATCATATGATACTATAATCATACTATTACCTAATTAATATATGATACTATAATCATATGATACCTAATTAATATATGATACTATAATCAAATCTTTCCTAATATTTATATTATCAAATCTTTCCATAATATCAGATCACATATCTTCAACACTCCCCCTCAAGCTGGTGAATATAGATCTTCCATTCCCAGCTTGACAACACTTTCATGAAACATGTTGCTACACAGTCCCTTTGTCATCACATCTGCAAGGTGAAGTCCTGTCGGAACATATGGAGTACAAATCAGTCCACTTTCTAGCTTCTCTTTAATAAAGTGCCTGTCTATCTCTATGTGCTTCGTCCGATCATGTTGCACTGGGTTGTGAGCTATACTTATAGCAGATTTGTTATCACAATATAGCTTCATCGGTTTGCTCCATTGAATCCTCAAGTCTTCTAGGATAATTTTAACCCACAATAATTCACATACCCCTGCTGCCATAGCCCTGAACTCTGCTTCAGCACTTGACCTTGCTACCACACTTTGTTTCTTGCTTCTCCAGGATATTAAGTTTCCTCCAAGAAATGTACAATATCCTGAAGTTGATCGCCTGTCAACTGGAGACCCTGCAAAGTCTGCATCTGTGTAAACTGCCAGATCAATTTCAGGACCCTTTTTGAATAAAATTCCCTTCCCTGGATGTGCCTTTAAGTAATGAAGCACTCGATAAACTGCTTGTAGATGAACTGCTCTAGGATCATGCATAAACTGACTAATAACACTGACTGAGTAAGCTATATCTGGCCTAGTATGTGCGAGATAAATGAGTTTCCCAACAAGTCTTTGGTACATCTCTCTGTCCACAGCTGTATCTCCATGAGCCTCACTTAATTTGTGATTCTGCTCAATGGGAGTTCCAACTGGTTTGCTTGCTGTCATGCCTGTTTCCTTGAGCAGGTCCATAACATACTTCTGTTGAGAAATAAAAATTCCCTGCCTTGATCGAGCCACTTCAATTCCCAGAAAATACTTCAATTTTCCTAAATCCTTTATTTCAAATTCCTTGGCTAGGCACCACTTCAAAGTTTTCTTCTCTACTTCATCGTTTCCTGTCACTATGATGTCATCTACGTATACAATCAAAACAGTAACTCCCCCCAAGGCTGAATGCTTGATGAACAGGGTATGATCTCCTTGACTTTGCTTGTAACCATTAGCTATCATTACCTTGGCAAATCGTCCAAACCAAGCACGTGGGGATTGTTTCAGCCCATATAATGCCTTTTTTAACCGACAAACCTTGTTCTTGTCAACCCCACTGAATCCCAGTGGAATGCTCATATAAATCTCCTCTTCTAACTCTCCATGAAGAAAAGCATTCTTCACATCGTATTGCTGTAATTCCCAATCAAAATTAACAGCCAAGGATAGCAGAATTCTCACTGTATTCATCTTTGCTACTGGAGCAAATGTTTCCCGATAATCTACTCCATATGTCTGTGTGTATCCTTTCGCGACTAACCTTGCCTTGTAGCGTTCTAGGGACCCATCTGCTTTAAACTTTACTGCATACACCCATTTACAGCCCACTACTTTCTTGTTCTTTGGTAAATCAACTAATTCCCAGGTCCCATTCTTCTCTAATGCATCCATTTCTACTTCCATAGCAAGTCTCCATTCTTTCTTTGATAATGCTTCAGACAATGAGCTAGGAATAGAGACTGTATTTAAGGTGGAAAGGAAGCTTTGATGGCTCGGGGAAAACTTCTCAAAAGACACAAAGTGAGACAATGGATATAGGGGTCTTTTGGTGCATTCTCGGGGTTTTTTCCTTACAGCAATAGGTAGATGTAGGTCCTGGTCAAGGTTAAGAGGCTCAGGACAAGGTGATTTAGAGCTGGAAGAATGGTCGGTCGGTGGTGTAGAATTCAGATTTGATTCACTCATTGTTACCTCATTCCCGGAGCTTGGTTTAGAGGATTGTTCTTGCCTTGTAACCACGATGGGATCTCCTTTCCTTGTATACACTTGGTCAAACCGGAACCAGTCATAGATTTTACGGTCTTCCTTTTTTTCTTCTACCACATCAGATTGAAGAATTGACTCTTGGAATTCAGATTTGGATGACTCAGATGTGGTCAACTCTAAGGAGGGAAATTTTAACTCCTTATCTTCAAGTGTATCTAACTCCCCCTGAAGATAAGGAGTGATGAAATAGGGATTATTTTCAACAAATGTAACATCTGGCGAGACATAGAGTTTTCTAGTAGGTGGATGATAACATTTGTAACCCTTTTGAGTAGATGAGTACCCCACGAAAACACACTTAAGAGCACGAGGATCTAACTTCCCACGGTTATGACTATGGACATGAACAAAGGAAGTACATCCAAAAACTCGAGGAGTGAGATTAAAGGAAGATCGAATATCGGGGTAAAATTTGGATAGGTTCTCTAGTGGACTTTGAAACCCCAAGACCTTGGAAGGAATTCTATTTATGACATAAGCTGATGTGAGTACAGCTTCTCCCCAATATGCTTTTGGCACACTTTGTTCAAACAGTAAGGCTCTAGTGCACTCAAGAAGATGTCGGTTTTTCCGTTCTGCCACTCCATTTTGTTGTGGAGTGGCAATACAGGATGATTCATGTATGATTCCTTCTTTTTGGAAAAACTGACTCAAGGTTTGATTGAAATAATCACGAGCATTATCTGAACGAAAGTGTTTTATCTTGGTGCCAAATTGATTTTGAATCATTGCATGAAAAACAGGGAAAATATAACTCAAATCAGACTTATTTTTGAGTAAATAGATCCAAGAGACTCTTGTGCAGTCATCGATAAATGTGACAAACCACTTAGACCCTGAGATGTTTGGAATAGTTGATGGCCCCCAAATATCATTATGGATTAAAAAGAAAGGAGAAGACGATCGTTTATTACTGATAGGAAATGGGACACGAGTGTGTTTAGCATACTCGCAAATATCACAATGAAAAGACTGAACATCAAATCCCTTGAACAAGGAAGGAAACATTATTTTTAATGCAGAAAAAGACACATGACCTATACGTCTATGATGTAACCAGATGACATCTTTATTGGAGGGTGAAGACAATGTGGACAGGGCAGATTTACTAAATTCTGGTTGACTTGATGTATCCAAGTAATAGAGTCCATCATGCTCCTTAGCTAGTCCAATCCTCTTCCCCGAGCCCCGGTTCTGAAAGTCACAACAGGATTCATCAAATATAACAGAGCCAGCTAGATCCTTGGCAAGTTTTTTTACAGAAACCAAATTTGTAGATAATCGAGGAACATGAAGAACATTTTTAAGAATCAAATTTGGAGTAACTTGGACATCTCCGATACCTGCCACAGTGGTTGTAGTACCATCTGCAACAACAACCTTTCTATTTCTAGGACAGGGATTATAGGTTTTGAATTTATTTGAAGTATGAGTCATATGGTCCGTAGCACCAGAGTCAAGAATCCAGACATTCCTAAGCTCATTGCCTAAAACACTAAATGCAAAAGAGACTAGAGCCTTACCTGAAAGTGTCAATGAACACATACCCGGATTCCTTGATTGAGAATTGTTAGTTGCTGGTTTGTCAACTGTCTCTAACATACTTTTAAGCTTCTCAATTTCGTCCATACTAAACCCTCCAATCACTTGAGTTGGATCTTGAACCGACATATGAGCCTGCCTTTGCTGGCCACCTTTTTGTCCCCATTCACGAGTGGGTGGTTTCCCATGTAGTTTCCAGCATTGATCTATGGTGTGTCGTGGTTTCTTGCAGTATGTGCACCACAACTCCTCGCGATTCTTTTGCCCACTTGTTTGATTGGTCTTGTCCGCAGCAACCTTGTTCAGTACCAACCGCTGAGATTTGGAACTTAAAAGGGCTGAATTTTCTATTGAAGGTAGCTCTAACATAATACCCCTGCGACTTTCTTCTCCACGTACTTGGGATATTGCTTCTGTTAAAGAAGGAAACTCTGGCCTGCCCAGAATTTGAATTCGTATAAGATCGAATTCAGAGTTTAGGCCAGCCAAAAAATCATAAACTCGATCCCTTTCTATGAACTTCTTGATAAACATTGCACATTTGCTACAGTTCAAATCAAGTGCCCTGTAATAATCCAGTTCCTGCCACTGGTTTTGCAGAAAATTGGCATACTCCGTCACTGTTTTTGTCCCTTGTTTTGCTCCAGTTGTCTTTGTCTTGATGTCATAGATAAGAGCTGCATCATTAACCTTGGAATATGTCTGATGAAGGGCATCCCAAATTGCCTTTGCTGTAGGAAGAAACATACATGTATCGCTGATTTCAGGAATCATGGAATTCCATAACCAAGACATGATCATTGAATCCTCTTGTTCCCATGCTTCAAACCCCGCCGTTTCACTATCCGGTGCTATTTCCAATAGATGACTCAACTTTCCTTTTCCTTTCAGGAATGTTCGAACCAATTGAGACCACTTCAAATAATTTTTTCCATTTAGTCTATATGCTGCCTGGATGTTTTGAAGCTCTGTTGTGTTCCGTGTACTTTGTTCTTCTTCCATAGTTGAAGACAATTGCCGCGTTGAGGATGTAGCATCCGCCATGATTGAATAGGAGGGGGGAAAAAAAAAGGTATAGTAACAGGAACAGCAATGAAGGCTGGAGAGAATAAGAAAGGAACCAGCAATTAAGGCTGGAATTGACAAGAAGCAAAGGTGGTATTTTTCCCAGAACCCTAGACGGGCTCTGATACCATGTAAACTAAGAAAAAATGGAGAGAAAAAATACTTTTCTTCTATTTCACTTTGGACTACACAATATACAAATATATATATACACAAGTGGATACTATAATCATATGATACTATAATCATATGATACCTAATTTATATATGATACTATAATCAAATCTTTCCTAATATTTATATTATCAAATCTTTCCATAATATCAGATCACATATCTTCAACAGTTTTACATGCAAGGTATAAGTTACTGCTAACATGGGAATATGGGATATGTGATTAGTTTCATCAAAACTTAGCATGCACTTCAACTGCCAATCATATACTTGGTTAAGATTTATGAAAGTTTTGACTTGATTCAATTAATTCGAACTCTAAGTATATCATGTTCCTTGAACAGTTAACAGCACAAGATAAAAACTATTAAATTTGTATAGTTTCTTAATTTCATAGCAGTTGGGCCAAACTGCTGAAATATGATAACAGTGTTCAATGTATGCAAAATAATAGTCCAAAGAGCAATGTTTCCTTTGATGTTTATATTGAGGATATGGAATAAATTGATGTCAATTTTGTTCTTATCTAAAGAAATCAGATTTGCATGCATTGACTCGATTAACTGGAATTTTTTGAATGATTTTTTTGATGTCAATTTTTTGAAATCAGATTTGCATGCATTGACTCGATTAACTGGAATTTTTTGCATGCATTGACTCGATTAGCTCAATAATAAATATGTGACATCATTCTTTTTCCATGATTACTTTTTTTCCTTGGAGCAAACTTGTGCATCTGTAGTGTTCAGCTACCCATTAATGGGGCTTGGCCCATGCAGGTTACTAACTATTGTTGTTTTCATTAGCTTCTTGCTGAGAAAATGCCAGAGTTATTGGATTTTGATAAGGATCTTGTTCATTTGGAAGTTGCATCCAAGGTATGTCAGCGACATCTTTGAAATCTTCCATAGCTAATCTTATTCTATACTTTTTCTGGAACTGGAAGATTTCTTACTTGAAATATCATTTCTTGTTCGACTCTTCCGTGCCCATAATAATTTCTTAGATCCAACTTAAGTCCTTGGCGGAAGAAATGCAAGCAGTAAGCAAAGGTCTTGAAAAAGTTGAGCAGGAACTCACAGCATCTGAGAATGATGGTGCAATATCCTTAGGCTTTCAGAAGGTGAGAAATACCTGTGTAATTTTAGGCTGTTTATTAACATACCTTTAGCTCAATTCTTATCTCATGGAGTCATGGTAAATCTGTTCTCATACCTCTGCTTGGATTTTATTGAAACTGTGCAACATTTTGCATTTGAAGAGATCTCTGTTGGTTATTGCCTTATTCCTTGTCTTTTGGGTGGTTTGTTTTTTCATTTTTGAGTGATGTTGTTAATACTGATTAATGGTACCTTTATCTTTCAGGTGCTTAGTATCAATGCTGTTTTCTTACTTGATGTTTAATCCACATTGATAAAATCGTTTTCTCCTAGTTATTCTAATTGTGGTATAAGGTCAAGCATTCCAGAGACCTGTAGTGAAGTCCATGAGAAGTAATTCTGGATATTTAGATTTTTATGTTTCTCCAAGGCCAACAACAGTAAATTTGGCTACTTCTCTTGCAAATTAATAAGGTAGCAAAATATACTTCTGGCGTTATCAATGGGTATTTGGTTGTTTTTAATATCAGAAGAGAAGCGGAGACTTGGAAGAATCCAAGCAATGTAGGCTGTTAAAGTAAGAAGAGATGTCAAGATTGAATCAAACATAGATTTCTGTAGTCTGACTACTACTGGATCACTTTAATATCCCATACATGGCAGGAAATACATCTGTAATTTTCCTGGTCTAATTTTAACTTTTATTTGGCGGTCTGAGATTTAAAACTGTAAATTTTTCTTCTAGATTTGCTTTTTTAAGATCTGAGGCTGGAATACTTAGAAGGGTCATATTTTTGTCATGTTTTGCCGTTTTTGATTTCCCAAAATTTATTTTATGAAAATTAGTTCAATGAAAACCTGCAAGGATCTGGTACATGCATGCACGTGATTATTTTTCACTTCAGCCCTTGCAGGTGAAAATGTATAGTGCTAAATCATTTATAGTATTGGGACAGGGTCGTGGAAGCAAATAAATTCCAAGCGGTCCGGTGATAATGTGAAAGATGCTTTTTCAAACCATTGCTTAATGAGATCATGTCTTCAACTTTTGATAAATGCCTTCTAGTAACTTGTATTTAGTACTTCTCTCATCTATCTTATTCCGTCTTTGTGAATCATCTTATCATCAGTATAGTTAATGCAGAGTGACTTGATTCCTTGCTCGATGAAAATATGTAGTAACTTGTGAACATAGCACGCATTAACGTTAAGAAGTTGTGCATCTGCAACAAGTTTAATGCTATTATTATTTTTTTCAATCTCTCTGGTTATGGAACTGATTATGTCATTGTTTTGTGATTGATCTGTATAACATGTGTGTCAAAAGAATGAATTGCAAATAAATCAGCTGACCTCTGGGAACAAGTCATAAAGTATGGTTCTATTTTGAGGTGGAATTCATTAATTGAACTTGTTCCTGCAGGTCTTGAAGAATTTCCTTCATACTGCTGAGGCCGAAGTTAGGTCACTGATTACACTTTACTCTGAAGTGGTGAGCCTTTACAACTTATTTTCTTCCTTTATATCTCATCTATGATTGTAATTGGCTCAGCCATGGTTATTTCTAACAAGAATATTTTACAGGGAAGAAATGCTGATTCATTATCCCAGTATTTTGGAGAGGATCCAGCACGATGCCCCTTTGAGCAAGGTTTGTCTACCTCTGTGTCATGATGTGTTCAAATTTATGTTACTGTTAGATGTATTACATAATATGTGACTTCCACACTTATTTTAGACTTGATGACCCAACTGAACTAAAACATCTGATTAGAATAAAGAAAAAGTCCTTCTGCATGGTATTTGTGATCAATGTATGGAGAATGTGGAACCAAATGGTGTAAATAGAGCATATGGTAGTAATGCATGACCATTTTTTTTTCCCTGCCAATATGTTGTATATTACCCTGATATATGGTTCTACAAGTGCAAAATTTGACTGAAGATCAACAATGAGAGTTTCATCCAAGCTTTTAGACATCTGTCTCCTAGTTCTCTGTGCTTCAGCAATCTCTAATGAAGTTTACTTTTGTTGATGTTTATGATGTTATTTTTGCTGCATTTAGAATTTCTAGATCTTCGAAGTTCTATCCTGAAAAAGATAGGTGATTTTTGCTTGTGAAAACTGAATCGAGGGGAGGCATGCGTAAAAGGTCCTAAATAGGTACTTCATAAATGTATAAACCTGCCTTATTTGAAGGAACTGGCTGAATGATTATGCAGAATTGCCCATGGATACCTGCACTGAAACAGTACTGAGCGTTTTTATGGCATTCAGAGAGATTTCTGACGCAGAGACCATGGACAGTTTATATTTCATCTTCTTGTTCTAATGGGGTCAGACTAAGTGAAAATTTACTCTCAAGTTTCCACTTGTTAGCAGTCACTCTTTATGCGATTGAGGTGAATACTGTTTTTTACTTTACATTTGAAGCTGAAGTGATTTTGCTCATCTTCTTGCATTATTTGACATGGGGACAAGAATTGCTTGTATGACCACCCTGGTTGCAGCTTCAACTATTTTACTTGCATAGTTAAATGGGTCACTGTACAAACGTAGTGGAATGTTTAACTTCTGTTGTCCATGTTAATTTGTTTTCTCATCTGGGATCCAAAACAAAGTTACAAATTTCTCTTTGTGGGGTTTGTATATGCAGTTACACAAATTTTGGTAGTGTTCACAAAGATGTTTAAGAAAGCACGTGACGAGAATGAACATCAGGCAGAGGCTGAAAAGAAGAAAATGGTGAAGGAAGCATTGAAGGAACAAGCAGCTAATTCTTCAGCCAAGAAAGAGAGTGTTGATGCTGATAGACCAAAGTTCTTAAAAGAAATCAAAGACAGGTTCCATAATTAATTTGGTGCAATTCAGCCACAAGGAAATAGATAATGCTTTAATGGAGTTGAGGACAGGAAAATGCTGGAAATCGTCTTATCATTGCTATTGCGGCAGACAAACTTCCATTCATATTTCGCGTCCTTTACAGGCTGTGAAAAATGCTTGATAGCGGGAAGATTGATTACTGCTGCTTGCACCTGACTTAGCATCAGTTTATATGGTCTATTTGTAGTGTTGTTGTAGTACATAAGTTGGCATAGTTTAGTCAGCTTAAAAGCAAATTTACATTTTCTTTTTGTTAGATGGATTTAGTTACATGATATATACGAATGTAGCAAATTGAGAGGGTCCTCTGTGATCTGGAGGCTGCTCTGTGTTGTTCATATGATGCTGTACATGAGAAGTCATAGAAAAGGAAGGTATAGCTGAATAGGAAACAGAAAACCATCTTACCCTTTGAATGCCTCTTTTATCTTGGGCACTCTTTCTCCTCCATTTCCATTTCTTTCTCCCATGGGTATGTGCAGACTTTATGCTTGATGCCACCAAAGGTGCAGTGGCTCCTGGCTTGTCTTTTATGCTGCATCCCTCTAAGGACTGTCTGTCTGGTTTATGAAACCGGTTTAATTACTGGACTTGCATTTTTTATTTCATCAGCCCTTTAGGCTCTAAAAAATTGTTGAACTAGTACGCAATGCTGGTTAGTTAGTTCTTGTTGTTTATTTGCAAGTTATTTACAAGTAGGAGGACATGATACCTCCTTCATTCCAAATTGTTTGTGGTATTTTGGGATTAGAAATTTAAACTCTTTAAGAATAGTGGCTTGCTGGTGATGTTAATGGATTTATTTTCAAACAAATTTTTTTTAAAAAAAAATCAAATTTTAAAATTGAATTATTGTGAAATATAAATAAAGGTGGAGACAATGTTGGAAAAAAGATATTAAAAGTAACTTTGATTTTGGTAAGATGTTAAACATTTTTAATAAAATGGAGGGAGTAATATTTAATATGATAATCATTTTTTTGTTATCATAAAAAATCAAAATAAAGCACGTATCATGAGTAATAAGTTGAGATTTCAATCCTAATGATAGTAAAATTCACAAATCAAAGATAAAAAGCAGTTCGTTAGACTTGATTTAATGTTAGTCAAACTCAATTAATGTAATTATTTCTTTAAAAAAAAAGTTGATGGGCCAATATGTAACATTCAAAAGTAAAGTCTAGTGGGGAAAATTGTGATATAATACTCTAAAGGGGGTTGAGCACATAGAACAGAAGATTTAGGGCTAAAGTGAAATTTTTGAAACTGTTTTCTTCTCCATCGTTTTCAGTCCAAAAAGGCCTATCCCTACTAAACATCCACCCAAGCCACCGTTCTACCCAATTCCCACGCGCCGCCACAGTCCGAGACCCCAACTATTCCGGCCAGTAGTCATCCAACCGCACGACTCTTTTCCTCTCTACGTTTCTCTCTTCTTCTCCCTCTCTCCGGTGAGTTGCAGCAAGAAAGAGAGGGTAACTTTGCTTTCCAAAGGACCCGATTACATCATTCACCCGAGCCCGAATCTCCATTGGAGCTCCGTTGTTTTCAGGTAACATATATATATATATATATTTTTCATTTTACTGAAACGATTTAGTATAAAAGGAGAAAACTGCTTGGGGAGTTGTTTGATTACTGCATTTGCTGCAAGTTTTTGTCTTGGTTGGCGGTTGTTGTGACATGGGCTTTTTTGCTTAGCTGTTTCTTTGGAGGATAAAACTTCTGGGCTCAAATATTAGAAAACCTCTGGTTCAAATATTAGAAATCAGAAGTTCAGGGTTTTGATTGAAATGTTTGGAAAGCGAAATTTGACTATGAATTTCACTAATGTATGTACTAGTATCCTGAAATTAGACAAGGTTTTGTCCTAAGGCAGGACTAAACTGTGTTTCATCGCGGCGTTCTATTGTCCTTGTGAATTCATTTTTGTGTATGTGATACTCTGAATTGTCAATTGTTGGTGAGAAGAAGAAAAGGTTGAAATCAAAGATAAGAAAAACCTGTTTTGATTGTTTGACTGTCATTAAAACGACAAATTTCGGTTGAAAGTCTTATCTATGCAAGAGGAGCTTATTTGGTTTGTTACTAACTTGTTTAATATTGGGTTGTGTAATAGACAGGATGAGTCGTTCGATGAATGCTTCTTCTCTCAAGCGTAAAAGACCAGAATCGAGTTCTGCCAATGGGTCTCTTGTTGATGCTGATCGTGCAGTTTTCAATGTGATAAAGAGTAAAGAAGATATGGGAATTTGGACTAGGGATATAAAATTTGAGACGAATCTTGCTGATACTGTCGTCAATAAATCTCTGAAGTCGCTTCTAAGTAAGAAGTTGATAAAAGAGGTTGTCAACATCAAGAACAAGGGGAGAAAGCATTACATGGCAGCAGAGTTTGAACCGTCAAAGGAAGTTACTGGTGGTGCATGGTATGTGGATGGAAATCTTGATAAAGAACTCATTGGTGTTCTTAAAGGCCTCTGCTTGAAGATAATCAATTCTAAGAAGGTTGCAACTGTTGAAGGAGTTTATGACTTTTTGAACAAGAGCAAAGTCACCACATTTGATTGCACAAATCAACAAATTGCGGAGGTTTTGAACTCTATGGTATTGGACAATGAGGTCATAGAGGTTAAAAGCACTGGCTTGGGAGAATATCACTCTATTCCTATTGGAACTGTATGTTACAGGATTGCAAAAGGAGCTGGTCTTGGAGAGAGTCTCAAGATTGGGGCAATGGCTTCGATTCCATGTGGTATGTGTCCACGAATTAGCCAATGTACACCTGATGGAGTTATTTCTCCTAGTACTTGTGTGTATTACCAGAAATGGATGAATTTTTAACTTCAATGCACATATATGGTGGGTTTGTGGCAAGTAATTTATGTACCATGAGAAAGATTTTTAGGACAACTGATGAAATCAACTGAATCTGTTCAGCGATGCTTTGAGCACAACGAGTTGTCTCTTGCTTTCTTTTGGGTAAATTTTGCTATGGCTAAGGATTGATATAAATGATTGAGCCCTATATCGTAGACAAAAGCTATATGGAGATGGTTTACTGATATTGGTCCTCTGAAGCCGATTATGATGTTTTGAAGTGGAAGAATGATGGGGATGATTTGTTGCGCTTCATAATGGTCATGGATGCCCAAGACAAGGCCAAAACAGTATAGATTTCGCCCTGAGCAGTTAGTTGTAAGTTTTTTGGATGCTGATAATTCTAATTTTGTTCATCTGATACAGACATCTGAATGAGCCTTCTTCTATTTTAGTTTGTAGACGCTAGGTTATAGATATAAAATACTTTTAGTCGTTATTAGACCCTTCACCACTTTGGGGTGAACTGTTTTTGCTGAAGAAGAGTATTAAGTCAATTTTTCACTCTCTACAGTCTACCTTCTGTAAATGCTTTACTATTATGCATAAAAGTTCATTTATTTAATTCAGTGTAGTAAAATTAGACTCTCTAAGTTGCAGTGTTTGTTAGCCCTTCAGCATAAAGTTCTCATCATTGGAAATATATCAAGCTTGTCAAGATGCTGTTGCACCTGTAATACACATCAGCGACACAATATGTGGCTAATGTAGTATTCTGGAATAGTAGTAGGTTAAAAGAGTATCCAATATCTGATCGATATTGGAAAGAAAGCTATTTTTTCCTTGTGTTGATTTGTGGTGTTGTCTTGCTCTGGCTAATTTCAAGATGCTCTAGTTTGATAAAAGAAATTCTTCCCATGAATAATTGGAAATATGAATGGTTCAGTGCCTTGATTTGCTGGGTCAATAAGTGAAAATAATCATGTATCCTTTTTTCTTTCCCCCTTCTGTAAGGCAGTAGTTCACCGCAGATAAAATGTGAGTTGGCTTCCTTTATTAGGTTGTCTATGTAATTGGCACATGTTTGCTAATTTTTTTGAGTTCTTGACGAAAAACATGTTTCATTCTAAACTTGTGAGGCATGGATGGCTAAATCAATCTCATTATTTTAAGGGCAAATTAACCAATTGGCCCTTGAACTCTTTGTCTAGGTAAAAATAAGCCCCTCATCTATTTTTTGCTGACTTTAAGCCCTCGAACTTGTAAAATTGGGCACCCGTGACCCTTTTAGCCAGTTTCTCCGGTTTTGGAACCGGAATGCCAATTCACATGAATGCCAGTGTGCTTCTTCAAAGGGCATTTTTGTCTGCATCTTCTATTCAAAGGACCACGAGGAGCTGAATAAGCCGCTGTCGTAGACCTGGTCCTTGCAGACGCAGCAGAAGAGCTCGACGCGGTCAACATCCACCGCGATGGCGTGGAAGGAGGAAGGAGAAGAGCAGCCAGAATCGTCGTCCGCCTGCGCGGCGTGGGAAGTTGTGTGGAGCTGGAAGGAGACGGCGGCGCAGGCGATGCATGCGAACAATCTCGGGGACGAGGCCTTACAGGCGCTGTATTGCACAACCTCTTGACTGGGCTCCCGGCGAACGGAGACCTGGCCAGGGGGGCAGACCTCAAGGCAGTCTTGAAGGTTCCGAAAGGGGTTGGGTCCAAGTTTAGATCGGAGCTCCAATAAATGCGGACAAGGATGATTGAAGTCACTAGCAAAATTATTACTAGCAGAAATTGGCTTGCCGTAAGAAGAATTAGCAGTTTTATTAGACGTGGTATGAACAGGGCTTGAATGAGGGAAAGAAGCGTTTAGCTGGAAAAGGGATTTCTGAAGAGGGAAGTGGCTTCGATGATTTTTATGAGAGGATTTGGGTGATGATGACATTTGGTGAAGAAGAATAAGAAGAAGAGGGGAAAGAGTTGAGGAGGAGGACCAGAGGAGGGAGCAATAGTAATAAGAAAATGGGAATGTGAAGGAGATGGGTATACTTCATGGGAAAAGAGAATGGTGGCGCGATGGGTTTTTGCTTAGAAAAAATGCCTATTTGTTACTTCATGGGCTTTTGCTTAGAAGATGCGGACAAAAATGCTCTTTAAAGAAGCACACTGGCATTCGTGTGAATTGGCCTTCCGGTTGCAAAACCAGATAAACTAGCTAAAAGGGTCACGGGTGCCTAATTTTACAAGTTCGAGGGCTTAAAGTCAGCAAAAAATAGATGAGGGGCTTATTTTTACCTCGACAAAGAGTTCAAGGGCCAATTGGATAATTTGACCTTATTTTAATACATCAGGCTCCCTGTGGAACTTCATTCAGGGGAGAATGGTAGTCTTTTTTCTTTATTAGAAAGGTAAAATTTGTGCTACAAGATTGACAACATTTGGAGGGGGACAAGGATTGAGAAAGAAAAACATGTTGGAGTTAATTGCAGAGAAATGTAATCGTCTTGATAGTCTTTAGTATAGCTCCAAGGAAATGTACATATTAAGGGTACGTATGCTTATCTTTATGCAGACCTTACTCTGGTTTCAGCTAAGGTCTCTTTCCACTTAAAGTTGGATCTAAGAGTACATAAATGGTTCTACCCGTGGACTAAACAAAGTGTCTTCATTCATTTAGAGAGAAGATATG